AATTTATTCAAATTTGATGTTTGCAATAATTCGACGAATTTGTACCAATTTCGGTATGGTTATTGTGCTTGCCACATTAAAACAAAACATTGAAAGTAATTGAAATCTGACTAAACTACGCCCACTTTTCATATAACGGTAAATTTCAGAAATACTTGAAATTTCAATATTTCGTAATTAGAAGACGCTTACTTACACAAAATTGATACTAACAACAATCCTTTGAAAAAAAGGGACACTATTATGGAATTTTGGAAAATAGGCGTGATACCGCCCACATATAGCTGTGTACATAAGTTTATCTATTTGTTTCTAACTGAGAGTTTTATCGAAAATATTTGAAATAGGGGTAAAACCACCCCTGCTTACCACGGTACTTTTCGGAAAGGTGAAACAACTATATTTAATACTTGCGTCGGGTATTAATGTTCGGCTCCGCCCGAACTTTGACTTTTTACTTTTTTTATTGCCATCAAAATTTCAGCTTTTCAATCTGAATCTTTAGAACATTTTTGGGTATGCAAATTTATAGCCCACACAATTTGAGTCCAATGTTTCAACCGGCTAAAAAATCACGTTCATTTTTGAGATTTTTTTAAGGCTGCTTTGGGTTTTTTTTTTTAATATAACGAGTGCAATTTACAAAAACTGGCGTTGATTTTTCGAAATTTGGTTGCTAATTGTCGCCCGCATTTCATTTCATACGGTTCGGTTATAGAAATGCATACCCAAAAAGGTTCTAAAGATTCAGATAAAGAATTTTAAATTTTGATGAAAATTGGTTGAATTTTCTTTAATTTTATATAAAGTTTGAAACTGTGATTTATGTGGTTTTTGGGTAAAGATTGTACGGTATTTTTATAGAAGAAGAACAAAAAAATTTAGCTCGAAAAACATTACGATTATTTAGGAAAAATCAACACATGGTCATTTGTTTGAGTCACTGTATGTTTACGTACATTTGTATCTCATTAAGAGAGCCGGCAAGTAAATACGTACGCTTAGTTTTGATTTAATTTTACTGTGTATACAAATTTTGTAACCGATCGCCCATTGTATATTATTTAAATAGGTGTGTGTGTATGTGTGTATGCATGTTTATTAGGGCGGGTCGAAAATTTAATTTTTCTCAAATCCCTTGGTAATAGTGAAAATATATTGTATCATGAAGTCAACAACAAGCCTGCGAAATATTAGTCTTTCATTTTAATTGTAAGAGCCCGCGCATCGACCGCCAAGTGGCCCACAGCACACTAATCGAATAAGACCAATTCTTGTTAAAAATGCTGGGTTTAGCCAAAAATTTTGGTGCATATTATAAGATAATGAATCCTTTAACGCAAAAGATAAAGTCAAGTATCATTTCGCGCCGCCCTTTATCTTATCGTTAATCTCAAACTCATCTATTTTCAAGAAAATTTTAATTGTTCTCTTGATAATTGCACTGGCCTATAGTCAAAAGATGTAAAGAACAATATTAATATTGCTGGAGTGCATTTAGATCGCTAGTTCCAAATATTCTAATCCTTTTTTAATATTAGCTATAGTTTGCGCTTTTTTGCAAATTTAGGAACAATTTCGGTAGCTCTAATAGAATAGCCATTATTTTCCATCATCGCGGAAAAATTTTGTTTATGCAAATTAGTATGGAAACACTGAACAGGCACAACTTCTAGACACACTAATTGGTTTACTTATGCTTATGCATACAATATAAAAATTACAAATATAAGAAAATGATAAAAAATTTTGTTCAAGATTTTTTTTATTTTAAAATAATTTGTTTAACAAAGCCGCTGGAGCTGACAGCCTGCCAGCTGAGCTATTCAAGTACGGCGGCGAGGAGTTGATAAGGTGCATGCATCAACTCTTGTGC